GAACGTAGCAGCGACAACACCAGCAGCAGTGGCGACACCGACATTTCACGGACCGATGGCACCACTGTCGCCGAACCTCGAAGCAGCACGACCGAGGCTCCCTGAAGCGTTCGATCCCAGCGCGAAGGGATCCGACGTCCGGCGATTCGTGGCAACCCTCGAAATTTACTTCGAGGCCATTGGCTGTTCGACCCCGACACACGACGCAGCAAGGATTCGGCTCGCAGCGACACTGTTACGTGGACCGGCACTGGAGTGGATTTACTACACTGACGTGGCCCGCGGGGAGAAATCGTGGGCGCAGTTTCGGTCAGACTAAATCGAACGTTTCGAACCGATTAACACGACCTACATGGCGCGGCAGCAGATACACCGACACAAGCAATACAGTAGTGTAGCACAGTACACGCAGCAGATGGAGCTACTGTTCAACCGCATCACCGACCTGACCGAAGGCGAAAAAATCCAGGCGTACACAGAAGGGTTAAAATTAGAGATTCGGTGGCAGTTGATTGCGGCGAATTACAACAGCTATCGCGACAGAGTGCGTGCTGCCGAGCGGCTCGACGCGTTGACTCGAGGTCAACCCGAAACACGACGTTTCGCGCCGAACCGTACATTCGGCACGGAGCGATCGGCACCCCCCACGTTCGCCGAACCGATGGATATCGACAAATACGACGCGAAGCAGCAGCCGACAAAATGCGAGTTTTGCGGCGCAGCAGGGCATCAGTTTTTGTCGTGCTACAAAATGAAGAAGGCACGTGCGGCACTCCGGGACGGTAACAGTGGAGCACCCCCGAAGTAAAAAAACGGCAATCGCCAGTAGCCGCGGATCGACCTGGCGATCGCGTAAAGATCCGAAAAGGAGAAAAAAGCGACGACGTGGTGACTTCGGAGCGGGTGAAAAAAGGAGAAAATGATGACGCGAATTTAAAACGTCACGACCGGCCGGCATCAGGGGAAATCGCCGAGGCGAATGGAGGCTCCGCGAAAAAAAGATTCTGCACCGACCGGGAAACTCCAGCCGAACACCCACGAAAGTAAGAATTCGTTAAAAGTATCCTATAAAGATACTCTAACGAAAAACATTGCTTCTCGTGGTTTTCAAGCCTTTGAAAAATTCAGGGGAGATTTAGAGGCCAAGAAAAAGCCTTTAGAAATTATTCAGGTACCTGAGAAGTTGGGCAAAGTACTATGGAGCGTAGAAAAGGGTCGTGCGTTCCGTGGAGTTAATATTCTCTCCCCACAGCATAGTGTTAAGGCTCCCCGTTGCCCACAGGTGAAGCCTACACAGCTGCAAAGGCTTAGAGGGGACATCCAGGCTCAGGAGAAATTATACAAGCCTCGGAAAAATCCTCCTACCCCCCAGGTGAAGTTGGAAAGTGCTGAGTCAGGTATAGGAAATAGGGAAGGTATTCATTTTGATGTACCCTATGATCCTATTAATGAGACGCTCTTTTGCTACTCAGCGCAGCAGAAACCACTACTCCTCGAGGTGTTATGCAATGGGCGACGCCTCCAGGCACTGGTGGACAGCGGTGCATCTCACTCGGTGTGTGACCACGGTACATTGGAGAAAATTGGAGAAAAAGCGGAGGAGACCCAATTCTCTGCAACAATGGTGGACGGTACGAAGCTTCCCATCCACGGCGAAGCATCACTGCAGCTGCACATAGGGGCGCTAAGGTGGAAGCCGACGTTGCCGATCACCAATATCAAGGGACTAGATTTCATCTTGGGGCGAGATTTCCTGAAGCGGTTCAACCCCGAGATCGATTGGGTCAACAGCAAAGTGTGCATCTACAACAACGGGAAGCGGATAGCACTACGAAGCTGGACGGATACAGGGGACATTCCTGAGACGACACTGGCACGGTTCAAACAGACGGTAAATGAGAGCAACAAGGGTTACTTAACACTGGTCATGGCAGCAGCAGAGGAGGAGAAGTCGAGTTCCGAGCTACCTGCAGCAGTGAAGGAGGTCTTGGAGCAGTACAAGGACATAATGCCCGACGACCTACCTGCAGGCGTACCTCCAGCACGCACCCACGAGCACGAGATCGTGGAGGAACCAGGTGCGAAACCCGTCTCACGTGCACCATACCGACTGAGTCCGACCGAGCTGACAGACATGAAAAAACAGATCGAATATTTACTGGACAGACAACTGATCCGCCCATCCACATCTCCCTACGGTGCACCAGTTCTCTTCACCCCAAAGCCAGACGGCAGTCTACGGATGTGCATCGACTACCGCGCACTGAACAAACAGACAGTTAAAAATAAATACCCCATACCGCGCATCGACGACTTACTGGACCAACTGCGTGGTGCAACAGTTTTCTCGAAGCTGGACCTACGGTCGGGTTACTGGCAGATCAAGATGGCGGACAACTCGATCCACAAGACGGCGTTCCGTACGAGATACGGCTCCTACGAATACTTGGTGATGCCGTTCGGACTCTGCAACGCACCCGCGACGTTCCAGGCAGAGATGAACCACATCCTCCGGCCCCTGCTGGACGAATGCGTAGTAGTGTACCTGGACGATATCCTCATCTACTCCAAGAACATGAAGGAGCACGTGGAGCATCTACGGAAGGTGTTCGAGATCCTGCGGAAAAATAAGTTCTACGTGAAGCTGTCGAAGAGCGACTTCGCCCTGAAGAAGGTGCAGTTTCTCGGGCACATGGTGAGTGCCGAGGGCGTACACGTGGACCCGCGGAAGATCGAAGCCGTTAAAAAGTGGAAAGTTCCGGAGAACGTGAAGGAGTTACAGCAGTTCCTCGGCTTCGCCAACTACTACAACAGGTTTGTGCCGCAGTACGCTACGGTAGCAGCGCCACTGACAGACCTACTGAAAAAGGATACGCCCTTCAAATGGGATACTCCTCATCAGCAAGCCATGGAGCAGCTACAGACAGCACTGACCACAGCGCCAGTACTCATCCTACCGGATCCCGAGAAGGACTACGTAGTTGAAGCAGACGCTAGTGACCAAGCAGTCAGAGCAGTACTGACGCAGGACCACGGATGCGGTTTACAACCTATCGCTTACCTTAGTAAGAAGTTACACGGAGCAGAACTGAACTACCCCATTCACGACAAGGAAGCCTTAGCTATAGTCGTAGCCTTCAAGGCGTGGAGGTGTTACCTAGAGGGAGCCAAGACCACAGTATACACTGACCACTGCAGTCTTAAGTACCTGAAGTCGCAGCCGACGCTCTCACGACGATAGGTGCGGTGGGTGGATTTCTTGGAAACTCACTTCCACTACGACATCGTCTACAAACCCGGGCTCCACAACAAAGCCGACGCGTTGAGCCGCCCCGGTCATGTAGCAGGCATCCAGCTCGACGGGATGAACCCTTTGCTCAAGGGTCTATTCCAACATGGGTACTCCGTGGACGGCGAGATCGCAACGGCAGAGAAACAGAAGCTGTTACAGTGGGAGAAAGACTTAGCGGTAAGGAAGGGTTCAGGAAAGATTTGGGTACCGAATTACGCCCCGCTACGGCAGATCCTATTAGAGGAATTTCATGACGTACCTTACGCGGGACATTTCGGGAGCAACAAGACGTTAGCGGGAATAGCGAAGTATTACTACTGGCCCGGGATGGCAGCAGACGTGCAGCAGTTCGTCACCTCATGCGACACGTGCCAGCGGATGAAGAATAGCAAGCAGAAAAAAAGCAGGGTTACTACAACCTCTACCCGTACCCGAGCAGCCATGGCAGGTCGTTAGCCTCGACTTCATCACGGGACTTCCCTCGACCTCACGGGGACACGATTCCATCCTCGTAGTAATCGATAAGTTCTCCAAAAAATGGGCCATTTCATACCGACCAACGCCACCGCTACAGCTGAAGCAACTGCTCGGCTCTTCTTCGATCGCATCATCACCATCCACGGCATCCCCACTACACTCATCTCAGACAGAGACCCAAAATTCACAAGTAAGTTCTGGAAGGAGCTTATGGGACTGCTGGGGACCAAGCTTGCCATGTCTTCAGCATACCATCCCCAGACTGACGGACAGACGGAGCGACTCAACCAGGTGGTTGAACAGTTACTGCGTACAGCTTGCAAAGACGACATCAGCCACTGGGATACACAGTTACCAACCCTAGAGTTCGCTTACAACAACGCCTCACATGCGGCCACAGGGAAAACCCCTTTCTTCCTGTGTTACGGACGGGAACCACTCACACCACAGCAGCCGACCACACCGGCACACGTCCAAGCCGCACACGACTTCGTCACCACCATGCAGCAGCTATGGGAGAAGACTCAGCGACGTCTCACCACGATGCAGAACTCCCAGAAGCAGTATGCCGATCGTCAGCGACGAGATCACTCAGTAGCAGTCGGAGATGTCACCGTATATGCATAATAATGCATATGCGGTGCCAGGGCGTGCGCTGTAGTTCTGGTGTAGCAATGTGGGGTATGCATATTCGAGGACAAGTAGGTGGGGACCAAGAAAATTGACGCGAAGTTGGTAGGAGAGCACCAAGGGGTGGAATCCACGCAACCAATGGGAACGAACCAACCCAGGCTCGAGCCGCACATTGAGAAATGCACGGTTCGAGCCTGGGCCAGGTAAGTTCACTCTCACACACACACACAATGCTTTCTGTTTGTTATCCTTTCGTATAGTGCACAGTTGTTGCCTTAACCTTGTCGCTAGGTGACACACCACTCAGAGGGGACCCTTGAGGTGGAAGCTTAGACTCTTTCATAACAAACAGAAAGGTGCGCGTACAAGCATGGATGTGTACGAGCTGCGTTATGGCAGGAACTACGGTCGCCGGGAGGAGGATCGCTCACGGCGCGGACGCTCGCGTGAGCGCGGGCGTTCGTTGGAGAGGTCGCCGCGGCGGCCAGAGCGATCGCCGCGGAGGCCGGCCTTTCGCGCGGATCAGGTCCCTCTCGCGCCAGATCGCCAGGAGAGAGGATCCGCTCGAGAAGGGAGAGGCGGATCTGGATCTGCCACGATGGGGAGTGACCCGTGGCGGACGGACGGGCGCCACGGAGCCGATGGCGGTCATGGGTATCGTCAGGACACGGGAGCGTACCGCTCGCCGGAGGAAGGCTATCGCCGTCGCGAAGATCGAAGTCGCGGGCGAGGTCTAGAGGAGCTCTTCTCGGGTCGCCAGGGCGATCTTGATGTGGATGGAGAAGACGAGGCCGACAAGGCGAATCGTGTGCGGGAGACGGATCACGAAGGCGAAGCCAAGGGCGATGGCGAATCCCAGGTGGAAGGCGCAGGCGAGCAGCGCGAAATGCCCGCTGGAGTCGACAACGACAATCCCGCGCATGCGGGCGTGGCGGCGGAGCCAAGCACGGCGGAGGCGGACGGAAGGAGCGGCCCGCGAACTCAGCCGCGCGGCGGAGAGAAAGGTGACGGTGGGAGGCGTGGCGGTGGCTCGCGCTCCCCAGATCCGCGCCAGCAAGATGACGCGGGACGCGGCGGCGGCACGCGGTCGCCTGATCCGCGGCTGAATCGTGAGGGAGGGCACGGCGGCGGCGCCCGCTCGCCAGATCCGCGGATGGATCGTGGCGGGGGCCGCGGCGGCGGCACGCGCTCGCCCGATCTGCGGCTGAATCGTGATGGGGAACGTGGCGGCGGCACGCGCTCGCCAGATCCGCGGCTGAATCGGGATGGGGGACGCAGCGGCGGTGTGCGCTCGCCAGATTCGCGTCCGAATCGGGAAAGGGGACGTGGCGGCGGCACGCACTCGCCAGAACCACGGCAGAAGCGTGGCGGGGAACGCGGTGGCGGCGTGCGCTCGCCAGATACACGGGTGCAGCATGACGGGAGGCGCGGGAGCGGCTATGTCTCACCAGAACGGCGGCCGCTGTATGAGGCGAGGCGCGGAGGCGGCCACCGCTCGCCAGATCCGCGGCAGCATCAGGACAGTGGGCGCGGGGGCAGCTCGCGCTCGCCGGATTCGCGGAAGTATCACGACTGGAGAAGCGGAGGGAATCTGCGCTCACCAGGTCCTCGTTACCCTCGAGATGAGAGGCGCGGAGGCGGCTCTCGCTCGCCTGACCTGCAACGATACCGAGGAGAGAGGTGGGGAAGCGAGGCGCGCTTACCTGACTGGCACATGCGGCATGACGGAAGCCGGGGAGGGGGACACTGCTCGCAGCATCGGCAACAGGGCAGGGACGGAGGGCGCGGTGATGGGTCTCGCTCGCCTGGCCGGTACTGGCGGCAAGACGGAAGACGTGCCGGTGAGGGAGAACGGGATCAACGCAACAGCAGAGAGGGAAGCAGCGGGCTGATGCACAGCCTGGAGTGGGCAAGAAAGGCAAGGGAGGGAATACTGCGAGCGAAAGAGAGAGGAGCATCAGGTAGATCGGCAGGAGGGCCGAGCGAGGCATGGGGAGAAGGCAAAGGAAGCACAGCAACGGTCACCAGAGTGGAAGTGCCTGCACGCTTCTCAGGAGATCAGCATATGGGGCCCACGCTGAAGAACTACCTGATGCAAGTGGGCAACGTGCGGTACAGATGCGAGAGGAGCGGCATGGACTCGGTGGACTTCTTCCTGAGTCTGCCGAACACACTGGAAGGGGAGGCGGAGACATTGTACAGGATGAAGATGGAGGAAGGTATGGGGAAGACCCAACGGAGGCATTCCTGAGGAGGCTGAAGCGGCAGTTTCCAGGCCACACCGCAGAGAAGATAAGGGAATTTCAGGATTTCAGGAAGGGGCGAAGCGAGTCATTACTCACCTACTACAACCGGCTGGTTAACCTGGCGGAGGATGTGACTTGTGCAGATATGGGCTTGCTCGTGAGCAAATTCCTGGACGGGCTGGAGGGCACTTTGGGAAGCGGGCTACGGATGAAGGTGTATGAGATGGGGGCCGACGCGTCGCTCGAGGAAGTGTTTGAGCTAGCGGAGAAGATGGAACTGGCACAGAGGAAATACGAAGCATACCGGCCCCGACCAGCAGAGCGAGGCAGGGGACGGACGTGGGCAGCGGCCATGATACCGGAGGAGAAGGAAGGGACAGCAAGTAGAGGGGAGGGCAGGACCGATACGCGGACGTGTCACAGATGCGGACAGCCAGGACACCTGCGCAGAGACTGCAAAAATTGTGACTCCTGCGGCAAGCCAGGACATCGGCGGCGGGAGTCTCCAACAGCGCCAAAGTGTGAAATATGCGGAAAGGGAGGGCACGCAGCAAAGGAGTGTTACCAGCGAGAGGGAGTGAAGAAGAAGACGCCAGAAGATCTGGAGAAGCAGATCAGCAGGCTGCAAGCCCAGCTGTAGGCAATGGGACCACGACGCGAAGCAGAGGCAGGGATGTACGCCAAGGAAGAGGAGGAGGAAGATGTGGAGCGGGAAGAGGAAGGCGCGTTCCTGGTCTGGGGAGGAAGAGAAGAGGATGAGATAGAACATGAGGAGCAGCCCGCGTACATGGCATGGAGAGGGAGGGAAGAGATGGGGCTGCGCAGCGGAGGAAAAGATGCACGAAAGGAGCAAGTGAGGAAGGAGCGAGAGAGATGACAGAAACCGGAAAACCAGGAGGAGAGATGCACCGCTGCACGACACCCTCAGGAGAGGTTGGCGTGCCAGACCTCCGTGCTGCTGATTCAGGGCGGCGCGCTGACAGTGGAGGGCGAGAAGGCGAAGACGGCAATCATAGACACCGGAGCACAGAGCGTAATACTAGGAAAGGGGATGGCTGAGAGGCTGGGACTGTGGGCACCTGACAGACACGTGGTGAAGGGGATGCTAGTGATGACGGCAGAGGGCGGAGAGTCTAAGTGGATGCCGTGCACGAGGACTCCGATCGAGCTGACTGTGCTGAAAGGGGAGAAACATGAAACGCCAGTAAAAATCAGGTGCGGGATCTCAGAGTCGGAAGATTTTGATGTGCTGGTGGGGACAGAAATGATCTTCGCATTGGGCATGACCATTTGCTTCTGGAAAGAGACAGTGGAGTTCCGAACCAGGTGGTGGAGGAAGGGTGACCCATTAGGGCAGCTGCCGGTGCAGTTTGTGAAGACCGAGCCAAAGAGGGCCTACAGCGCAGGACAGAAGGAGGTGACAGAGAAGAAGGGGGCACTGGAGAGCGCGGAGGGCAAAGAAAAAGGCGGGGAGCCTAGGATGCGCCTCATGGATGAGCCTAGCCAACAAACCGATTGGCAGCAACCCATCCGGCTGGTGGACCTGTTCGGGGGAATAGGGGCGGGACTGGCAGCAGTGGTGCGAAACGGAATAGCAGTGAAGCAGTGGATTTACGTGGAACAGGCACCAGAGGTGAGGAAGATAGCGGAGCATCATGCGTGGGAGCTGCATAGGGAGTTTCCAGAGCTGCTGAGTGGAGAGGTGGTCAGGGCGGCAATGACCAGAGGAGTGAATGACGTGAGGGCAATCACAGAAGCTGAAGTGGCAAGCTGGGGGCACGTGGACCTGCTGGTGGCAGGGTGGGAGTGCCAAGGGGTATCATGGGCAGGGAAGGGCAAGGGTGAGCAAGACCCTAGGACCAAAATGATGAAGGAGCTGTTCAAAATCATGGAGTGGATTCAGGCTAGGCAGGGCAGAGTGGCTTACTTGTTGGAGCACTTGGACATGGAAGGAGATGTCCGGGAACCGGTAAGGCTGGTGAGGGAGAGAGTGAGGAGGCAGGTAGGTAAGGGGGTGAGCAGCGATGCGGCGCAGATGGGAGCATACTCACACCGACTCAGGATGTACTGGCAGAATGTAGTGCCAGTGGAAGATCTGCAGAAGGAGATAGAGGGAGTGCAGAGAGCAGGGGGGCGGAAGCTGAGTAACATACTAGAGCCAGGAAGAACTCCAGCACCCGTGACAAAGAGGAGCTACAGCAGACACTATCCATGCAACCAGGTGGGGCTAAAGAGGCAGGCACTGCCCACCCTGGTGTCATATGAGGGGGCAGCAGGATATCGGATGGATGGGGAGCAGCCGGGCCCATGACTGGTATACGACCATAGGAAGGGACGGTGGGAAGAGCCCACGGCGTTGGAGAGAGAGCTGGCCATGGGGTACAAGGAAAACGCCACAGCAGCCCCTGGCGTGAGTGAGAAGGAAAGGAGGCGGGCATTGGGGAACGCAATGGATGGGTATATGATGAGATGGCTGGTACAACGGATGTGAAGAGAGACAGTGCTGCACTGGGGACTGAAGGAGGGAGAAAACACCGTGGCGACAGTCAGGCAAGGGGTGTGGGCCTGCCTGCAGAAAGAGGAGCCAGAGTGGAAGATAGGTGAAAGCATGAGCGAGGAGGGGAAGGCAGCAATGCGGGCACTGCTGACCAAGCACCGGAAGGGCTTCGCCTTCACCCTACAGGGGTTGGGGAAGTGCAAGATCAAGGAGATGGCACTGAAGCTGAGCAGTGATGAGCCGGTATTTCACCGCAGGAGGAAGATGCCACCAGGAGATGAAGCGATCTGCAGGGAGAAAATAAAGGAGTTACTGGAAGCCGGACTGATCAGGAGGTTAGTGTCCGAGTACGCCACTCCAACCGTGGTAGCAGCCAGGAAGGATTTGACAGGCGAGGTGCTGAGTAGGAGGATGTGCGGGGATTACCGAGATCTCAACAAAATCACAGTGCCAGACAGATACCCTATGCCGATGGCGGAAGAGCTCTTTGACAAGCTGGCCGACTGGGTGTTCTTCACGACGCTGGACCTGCGCCAGGGATTTAACCAAATCAAGATCAGAGAAGAGGATGTGAAGAAGACGGCCTTCCATGGGCCGGATGGGCTGTATGAGTGGCTGTACATGCCCTTTGGCCTGAGGAACGCCTCGGCGGTGTTCCCGAGAGTCATGGACGCGGTGTTGCGGGGAATAGAACGGGCGGCATGCTATATCGACGATGTCGTGATCTTCAGCCTGACCGAGCAGCAGCACCTGGAGGACGTGGAAAAGACACTGACGGCCATAGAAGAAGCAGGGCTCACGTGCCATCCTAACAAATGCAGATGGGGGGAGCAGACGGTGAAGTACCTGGGGTATGAGGTCACAGGGGGGCAGATTGGGATCCAGCAGGCAAAGGTGCAGGTGCTGGTCAGACTGAGGGAACCGAGAGACAAGACAGGGCTGCGCGCGGTCCTGGCTTCCTCAGCTGCTACAGACGCTTCGTGCCGAACTTCAGCAAGAGAGCGGCGGAGCTGAATGGGATGCTGCGGGAGGATAAGGCATGGGAATGGGGAGAGAAACAGAGGGAGGCATTGCAAGACCTCATGACAGCCGTAAAGACGGCAACAGTGTTGCGGCTGCTAGCAGCAGACCAGCCCTTCATCCTCTACACCGACTGGAGCAGCCAGGGGATGGGGGCAATACTGTGCCAAGAGGTGGAGGGAGTGGAGAAGGTGGTGGCCTACGCCAGCAGGAGCTGTAACCCAGCGGAGGCACAGTACAGCTCATACATCGGGGAGGGGCTGGCGGCAGTGTGGGCGGTAGGGCATTTCCGGATATGCCTGCAAGGCAGAGAGTTCACCCTGGTCACGGACCATCAGCCACTCACCTGGCTGATGACCACACCAGGGCTGACAGGGAGGAACGCGTGTTGGGCAGTGAAGCTGCAGGAATACGATTTCAAGATCAGGCACAGGCCAAGGAAGACGCTGCAGCACGTTGACGGCCTCTCCCGCAACCCTCCGCCACTGGAGACAGAGCAGGTAGCACAGGGGACAGAAGAGACAGAGTAGGAACCAGCGCAGACCTTGATCTTGCTGGCAAGACAGGTGGAGCAGACCGGTGCAAAAGGGAGCAAGGGACCAGCTGACATCTGGCAGGATGAGAAAGCAATGGAGTGGCTAAAGGGAGAAACCGAGGAAGACGAGACAGTGCCCGAAAGGGTGAGGGCACGAGGGCACCACTACAGGTGGTATCAGCAGCAGCTGCAGATCAAGACGGAGGATGGCTGGAAGCTGGTGCCAGCGCCCAAGGATCGTGAAGTGGAGATCAAGGAAGTGCACACTAAGCTGGGACACTTCGGGCACAAGAGGACCGTACATCTGCTGAAAACGGGCTGGTGGTGGGAAGGGATGCGCAGGCAAGTGAAAGAGTGGGTGGAGGGGTGCGAGGCGTGTCAGAGGAGCAAAGCAAACTTGACGCAGGCCAAAGCAGAGCTGCACTCACTGCCCATCTGTGGACTGGGGTTTCGGTGGTCCCTAGACCTCGCGGGAGAGTTGCCGCTGAGCAGGAGCGGGAATCAGTATATAGTGTTCATGGTGGAACATGTTAGCAAGTGGCTGGAGGTGAGAGCCATCCCTAGCAAGAGCGCAAGGCACATTGCAGTAGCCTT